TCTCAGATTCAGGTAGGAATTGGGGAGAAATTCGATTCAGTTTGCATTTAGAGACGAACCTCTGAAATTCAGGCAAATTATGTTCCTTTTTAACCAGGCCTTCGGTTGCTTTGCTTTGACTGACATCCTATGCCTTTTTAAAATAGGTATGTGGGGGTTTTTTACTGGGGGGGGTATTGGGTTGTTGTTTTTATTTTGATTATATATTTTGTGGTTTTATATTCTGATTTGTTCTGTGAACCACCCTGAGACCTCCGGGTATAGGCAGTGTGTGTGTGTGTGTGTGTGTATAATTAATAATATATATATATATTTAAAACACAGTCCATCCTTTGAAAGTTGCACCTCTCTGAATTCTGCCATGCAGTACTCCAGACAAGTAATGTGTAAAAAAAATGTATGTACTAGGGTAAGGTATGCACAGAAATGCACTTACTGGTGAAAATAACATATGAAATACATTATATTGGGGTGATCGTTTTGCAAGAATGTGCATATTATGCAGAAGTGCATACCAAAATGTGCACATTAAGAAAAAGTTGCATGAAATTGCAAAGTGGTGTGGAAATGTGGTGAACAGCACCTATGACTGGATAAAGGAGAAACTGGGAGAAATTTGAATTGATGGATTCACCCATTGCTAGATACAGAGTTAAAGAGGGAGGGAGCAGCCATCAGATCCTTCTCAGATGCGTAGCCAATTTGCTTCTAATGGATAGTTGTCAGGCACAGCCATGCAAATTCTGAAGGTGAAAAGAGGCAAGATTTTTCTCTTTTTTTAAAAAAAAAATGAGCGATCTTTTTTTTTTTGAAGATTTGAAGCAATGAAATCTAAACATTGCTAAAATGACTGGAAATTATCAAGTAGCCTATCTGCCTAGGCACACACCTGGAGTAAGACGGTTTCTATTTCAACGCAATGTCCTAGACTCACTGATTACTTTTGTCAGTGACTCCTTGCTATATTTCTCTCGTGACACTGGACTACATCTTTATTCTAAATGGGGATGAGGACCTTGAGCTCCACCTAGCGCTGGGAAGGAGCAATTTGTCAAAAGATCCGAAAGGAGACAAAACACCTAGAAGCAACAAGGTTGTCTGTTTCTATTGTGGATTGTGTTGTCTTTCGTCACACAATAAGAAAAAAAGTTGATTCACTGTAAGGGTTTCAGCTGATAAATCAATTAAGTCTATATGCATTTGCATGTGGCTAAAACAGACCTGTGGAAGGAAAAAACAAAGGACATTTATCTTGTTTTTGGATGATGTGTATGTCACAACAGCCAATGTGTCTCCAATGCGGTAAAGGAGGAGAAATGGTGCTTCTAAGGAAGTGCATGTTTTAAAAACAATTAAGCTTTTTTAAAAAAAATCAAAAAGCAACAGCAATAGCAACTGCTGCTCACAAAAGAGAGAGGGCACTATTTTAAAGCCATTTTTTAAATGTTTGATTTGTGCTCAATTAATTAATCTAATTGATGAATGGACTAGACATTGATGCCCTAGGCTTTGGACCAATGCCTGACACAGCAAACAAAGTTTATCCACATTAAGAAATATGTTAAGGTGATTTTTTTCAGCAAACGGTGGAGGGGTGCATATCCTTCTGCTGTTCTGCAGAATGTTTAGAAGGGGTAGTCCCTGCTTTCTAGTATTGATCTCTAGGTAAGTCGCTGTCCTTTCCCCATCTTTTTTGTCATTTCAGGGATGCCTTGTTAAAATTGTGTTTGTGTGAGCTGCTAGAGCAGGGATCAGCTCCTTTGCCAGGGTCGCCAGAACAGATATACCGTATTTGGAACCCAAGACTCTCCAGACATTGCTAGACCTATCTCCCACCATCTCCAGTCAGCATGGACGATGATCAGCTGGAGCCCAACAACCTCAACGGTCCTCCCTACCTGTTCTAGATGTTAAATCTCCAAATGAGGGGTCTGTGGATGTCTCTTCACATCCACAGCATATGTAGCAAGGCACCACACAGCCCGAATGATATGGATGTGGGGCTTTCTTCTGAAATGTCAGTGTTATATTCTAGGGCAGGGGTGGTCAGACTTCCAGCTTTATTTATGGTCACCGTATTTTTCGCTCTATAGGACACACTTTTCCCCCTCCAAAAATTAAGGGGAAATGTGTGTGCGTCTTAAGAAGCGAATGCAGGCTCCATGGCTTCAGCGAAAACAACGCGAAGCCTCCAGAGCTCAGCGGAAGCTCCTGCTGCGCTCTGAAGGCTTCACGTTCCTTTTGCTGTGCACCGATCCCTCTTGCTCTCCTGGCTTCGCTTCGCTGGAGAGGCGCTGCACAGCTTTCCCTCTCTGCGCAGCGCCCCTTCAGCGAAGTGGAAGGGGCTCCACTTCTCCTGCTGCTTCGCCGAAGGGGCGTTGCCACAGAGAGGGAGAGAATATTTTTTTCTTGTTCTCCCCCTCTAAAACTAGGTGTGCCCTATGGTCGGGTGCGTCCTATAGAGTGAAAAATACAGTATATTTCCGCTGCCAGAGCAGAGGAAAAGGCTTCTGTGATAACTTGGCCAGCCCTGGGTAGTAAACATCTTGAGCTGGAGTGGGGAAGGGGACACACCATTCACTGTTCTGCATTTCAGTAGCAAACCCCCTTGGCCCAACCCTGCTAGCCAGGCTGCTGGGTTCATGCACACAAGCTTCCCATAGCTGTTCTAATGTATTGTTGATCCAGAGATTCCTTCTTCTAGTTCTTCCTGAATGCCAGTGCTTTCCCAGGGATCCCTTTGCACACAGCAACAGGCTACATTGATGCAGTGAAGATTCTTGGCTGCTGGTAGGTCGGGTGGCTCAGAAGGTGGGACGAGTTTGGAAAAGATATGGACTTATTGGCTTAAGTCAATTTTGTTCATCTGACTTCAGCCGCGTTGGCACTCCAAACCTGGGACCACGGCCATACATTGCCTTTTAAGTGTACACTTAAGATAACCATTAAAGCAGCACATATCACTAGAGGTGAAAATATATTTTTTAATTGACCCTCCCTATCTTCTCTTCCAGATCTGATTGTATCCATAAAGGAAGCTTTATCTGATGCTTAATGACAGACTCCAGGATTCTGAGTTGAAGCTCGAAGGCATTCCCAGGACTCGTGTCTTAAAGCAGAGAGTGGTGAGGGATGAGTAGTATAGGGCTGCCATACATTATGGGGAGTGGGGAAACTGACATCCGGAGGGGGAGGATTTCCAAAAGGTGGTGGTTCCTAGACAAGTCAATCAAAAATTTGTGGGTTTTTTTGGGAGGGGGTGTTTTAAAAAAAAGCTCGACAACTTTGGGGGTTTCCTGTTTTTTACTTTTTGAAATATGGCAACCCTAGAGTAGTGAGGAAGGTTATTCAGCACGGTTTGCTTTTCTGATTGCATGATTTAAAAGATCTCGTATATATATGCACTCTGTGTTAAAGCTGGTCTCTTTCTCTCTCCGGCTATGTCAAACATGTTGATATTATGGTGTGCACATGTGTGCTTTAAGCCCACTCTTCTATATTTCTTGTGCAAAGGACAAAGTATTACAAGACTCTGTGCCACTGTATTTCTTCAGACAGAAATGCCTTCAGGTCAGCATTTGCTAGGCTTGCAGTTCAACTAAAAATGACATGCGCTTTAGAAGAAATAATAAATTCTGCATAAAAACAATGGTCTAAAAATATAGTGCTTAGCATTCAATTATATTCAACACTGAAATAGCAATTTCAATGATATTTTTTTTCCTTGAGTGTTTGGCCAAATACCAGATATTGGCATGCCTGGGCATAAGTAGGGGAAATATAGGAGAGCCATCAGCTGGCAGTGCTGATTTTGGAAATTCCTGAATTGCTCAGCTAGGTACATTGTGATTTTCTCCTGCCCGATAGGGACACCTCATTCATTCAATCCTTAAGAGAAACTCAAAAATGGCAGCACAGTGCATTCATATTCTGCTCTTTTATTCTGCACTGTAATCTAGATATAGGTCCCGACCTGCTACTAGAAATCAGCTCTCGTCATTCATCAAGTCATTTAGGAGCTTCCAGAATCCTTTCTTTCCCTCTACATGTGTGGCCTGCCCCATTTTCAGCATGACTTTTCTAGGTGTCTGTTTAAATCCCCCAACCTTTGCCTAAGGCTAGCTGTGGGGTGTAAAATGGGTTTCCCCAGTCCCTTTCCATGTCTGACATGCTTGTGTACTGTTGCAATGCTAGCTATTTCTATGGGGGAAATGGTGAGCACAAAGTTTTGACTATTGAATGTAAAGATAACTGAAATTTCTCATAACCAGGATTCATTTTCTTTTCTTACGTATGAATAGATTTCTACCATTTGCAGAGGTACCCTATTAATTTTGGTGCCTCATGAGAATGAGACCCAAGAATCTTTATACAGTCACTAAAACTTAGGGCAAATCCATACCCTACAAATAAAGGCCACCCAATCCACATTTAAAGCGCATGACTTTCCCAAGATTCCTGGGAATTGTAGTTTTCCCACTACAGGACTACATTTCCCACTATCCTTAAGAAACTACATCTCCCAGGATTCTTTGGGGAAATGGTGCTTTAAATGTAGGGTGTGAATCTTTCCTTAGTGTCACACATTCATGGATGTACACCAATTAACTGGAATAACAGGGCACATCTGCACTATACATTTAAACTAGATGACTTCTGAGTTAACAGCTATGATTTCCCCCAAAGAATCCTGGGAATTTTAATTTTGTGAGATGGTTGAGAAGTTTTTGTCAGAGATCCTTTATAACTACAGTCCCCAAGATTCCTTGATTGGGGCCTCAGACTGCTTAAAATATTTGAAATGCATTTAAAGGTGTAGCACAGACATGACCTTAGTTCTGAATTGATCAGTCATGTATTTTGGCTCTCCCAGGAAGTGACTATGATAGGTTTTTGCTTATATCATCCACCTTTTCTATTGGGCACTATGAGTTTGCCTTTAGACATTTGGTATAGGAGAGGTATTATTTAGTAAAGTATATGTAAGGTTTATTCGTCAGTGAATGGAAGCCTAAGTATTTAATTAAAACCTGCACATTCTGAAATTTACACAATATCATTATTAAACCAGCGGAAAGTTAATTGTGTAAACCTTGTTGGCTCCAAATGCAAGTACTCAGCACTTAAAATAAAACAAAATAATGCATGGCTATGTTGTTTGCAGGAATGTTTTCACCAGTATACAGACTGACAACATTCATGGAGAATAAGGCTATCAATTGCTATTAGCCATGATGGTTATGTTCTACCTCCAGTGCTGGAGCAAATATGCTTCTGTATACCAACTGCTGGGAATGGCCAGTGGGGAGACGGGCACGGGCATCTAGTTGACCCCTGTGAGAACACGATGCTGGACTAGATGGGTCTTTAGCAGGGTTCTCATTATACAGACTGGAAATCTGGAGAAATCACTCAACAGTTCATTTGCCCTTTCCCCACCTCTCTCTCTCCATTGGCCATCTTTTCAATATTGCCACCATCCAATCAGGCAGCAAAACCAATGCCCACAGTCCAAAGGAATGCCATGACCATAAAAACATTGGTACAGTGGAGCAGGGACATAGGGGAATGCAGCACCAGAGTTTTTACCCACAGGAGGAGGGATGATGTGAACTGCTGGATTGGTTATTTGCCTGTGTTGCAAGCTTGGGAGTTTGGAGGATAGTTCTAGTCCGGCACATGATCCCCTTGTTATGGAGGCTAGGCTCAGACAATGACTGGTCCAAGGTCAACCAGTGAAGTTCATGGCAGATCAGGAATATGAACCCAGTTCTCACAAGTCAAAGTTTAACATGGTACTCACTACACTTACTATTACAGGACTGTCAGCTGATCCTAATATAATGCCTATTGTGCCGTATGGCAGGGGAGGCCAATGTGGTGTCCTTCCATTTGTTGTTGGACTACCAACTCCTTTTAGCTCCAACCAGCAGGGTCAATGGTCAGGGGTGATGGGAGTTGAAGTCCAGCACATTTGGAAGGCACCATCTGCTATGTGCTTTTTGGTATGTATCTATAAGGAATCAACATGGATGGCTGCATTGAGTCTAGGGACTCCCCTTGGAAATCATGGCTATGCAAGCCATTGTGAGCTTTGACATTTCAACATTTATCACGGCATCGAGAAATAAATCAACACATTGATTTGGAGAGCTTTGCTTCTTTTTTCACTACAGCAGCCCCCACCAGCAGTAGGAGCAGGTCACTGCTCTCTCTCTCTCTCTCTCTCTCTCTCTCTCTCTCTCGGAGAAGCTTGCCTCTTTGGCAATAGAAACAGTTTCATTTCTCTCCTCCACACCCAGATCCTTCCTTGGGATCATGGACAGTGTCATGTGACTTCAGCCAAACACTGCTAGAGCTCTAAGAGGAAAATAGTGAAATGAAGAAGTTATGAACAAGGCACAGAAAGGTAGACTAAATAAACATGGGCATTATCTTTCATAAGGTTCTGGGAGACAAAGGCTATAAGTGTTGCCTCAAGTCTCATCTGCTTTCGGAAGTGTTTCCGTGATGTACGTTTCAATGGGTTTATGGACAATATCCAGCTGAAGACACCTGGAAAATGATTTGGCATGTTTGAATTACAAAAGCCAGCTGCACATATTTTTCAAGTCACCCTCCTCTATCTGGATCCTCTGCATCCTTACTCAGAAGTCAGCATCCCTCAGTTCAATGGCTCCTTCATTTCTTGATTATATGGGGGCCCTTTACAAGGAAAAACTATCTCAAGGCAGCTTCCACAAAAGTGGAACAACATACAAGCATCAAACTTCCCCAATGCAAACCATGAACAAACCTATCAGTTATAAAAACACATTCAGCTCTCCCAGCCCAAATAAAACGGGACTACAGCCAAAACCATCAACAGCAAAAGAGCATGATAAATCATTACACAAGAGAAGGCTACTGAAAACAGTCAAGATTGTAGGCCTTTCTAAAGACCCTACTCCCAAGTTAATGTGATTAGGATGTAGTTCCTGTGTCATGATTAGGAACACAGGGAGTGCCCTTATACTAAGTTAAACTTTAGGTCGATCTAGCTCAGCATTGCCCATGCTTGGCTGGCAGTGACTTTCCAGGGTTTCAGACAGGGATATTTCCCAGCCATACCTGGAGATGCCAGGGATTGAACCGGGAACCTTCCTCATGCAAGGCAGATGTTCTAACCACTGAGCAATAATAGTTTAGTTACTGGTCTTCTAATAAAGTGAGCCCAGTTACTGATGTTGATTCCTCACATACCCAATTAGAATAGCCTTGATCAGCAAAGGAGAATGTAGAGATGTGTTGGTACAGTGGAATTAAAGGAGTAAAACAAAATTAATCCATTCTCTGATTAGCCAAGAGATACACTCTGAAGGACAGTCCCATGCACACTTCTTCGTGGAATCATCAGTATTAAGGTATTGTTTCTCAGACATCGGAGCAGAACTGTTTTCCATTAGGCACACTCTACCCCAGCATCTTCATTATGACTGCAGTTGTTTTCACCCCAGTCACGTTTTCTACATGAATAAATGGAGAATTCTGTTCCGGTACATCCCACGTCATCCAACCAGATTTGTCCGGAGCCTGCTGTCAAGCAGACATGTAACGAGTTAGCACAGGGAGGAAAAGGGTGAAAAATAACAAAGCAACAATCCATCGTGTGACTCACATGCTAATATCTCATTATGCCTAAGTACCAGGAAAGTGGAGGGTACGGGTGGGGGAGGCTGCTTTAGGAAATGCTTCTGGAGCTGCATAACAACTGCTTAATTACTCCAGAATGAAAATTGCTTGGGAAGAGAATCTCACTCTTCTTTTCTTTTCTACCACCCTATTGTCCAGCAAACAATTTCAGACAGCAGCAGCTTCTAAAGCAACTTCCTTAGCCATAAAGGAAGCATGCAGACTTTGTTGTTGTTCAGTCGTGTCCGACTCTTTGTGACCAGAGCACGCCCGGCACTCCTGTCTTCCACTGCCTCCCGCAGACTTTAGTACACTTTAATACACTTTGGACACTGGGCTGCAGTGGTGAAACACCTTCCTGGTTGGACCTGGGACTTTTGGCATGCAAAGCAAATACTCTACGACTAAGCTATGGCCCTTCCCCTATTAGGTGAACACTCCACATTCTTCTGAGAAGAAGCCAAGGCTGTCAGAGCCTTCTGTGAGCAGGCAGCGCCTGTTGAGGTTCTGATCACACCTCCGCCTCTTGCTACCCCATCTCCCAAGGAGCAAAGAACTTGATTTGTGAGTCTGGGATGGGGTACCAGGTACTAGATGGCTCCCTACTCAGCCTCTCATCATTTCCCCAACTATTTGGAAAGTGAAGATCCTGCCAGTCTCTTTTTGAACCAGGGGTCATGGGAACTGTACTTCAACTATAACTCCCATGACCCCCAGCAATAAAAGATCCTGACAACAGAGTCTTCTCTTTACAAACAATCTGGGAAGGATGAGAGTCCCAGCAGGCATTTACCATCTGCAAGGGAGATTCTACCCCATCACATTGGCCAACCTTTCCCCCCCTCCTCTTGGCATGGCAGAGTCTTTCAAGCACTTGAAAACTCCCTTTAAAGGGTCTCAAGGATTCAAACTGAATATTCAGAGGGGAGCAGCATAAGGCTGCTTGCCTAGCTCTACTCTAGTGACATGTTTTGGATGTTCCCTGCTATTTTTGAACACAGTCATATTACACACAATTGAATCTTTTGCGACTTGATTAAATCAGCCAGGGAATGAACTGATAAATTACCTGCAGTTGCAGTGAAGGTTTCAACTACTCGGCTAAATCCCAGCATCCGACAAATCACAGCTCCATCATTAGTGTCCCAGCTGTCGTCACATATGGTACCCCATACTCCTGAATACAGAACCTCAACTCGACCACGTTGATGTCCTCCAACAAGTCTTACAACAGAACTGCTACCTGTTGGATGTTTTTGAAAGGCAACATTTATGCACATCAGGAGACAGAGGCAACACATCGAGATTTGGGGCAGGGTGTGAGTAAATGATGGGAGAGGTGGTCTCTACACATCCCCTCCTTTTTGTCTGCTGAAATATGTGTTGTACATTCCAAGAACGAGGCCCAGCCTATTTCTTTATAAGCTTCCAAATCAATTCTGATGGTGGTTTGAAGGGAAGCTGTTCCTGAGTAGCTGCCAACTCGTAGTATAACACAAGGACATATGACAGCACTTGGGACTTGAAGCCTAATCCTGTGATAAACATATAAAAATGATAATGTGCACATATGTGTTTATTAGCAGCATTGCTGCACTTTAGATTACTGTTTCCTTGACCCTACTGACTGGTGTGCATGGAAATGAATCGTGGATGGTGGAGGCTTCCAATGGAAACAGGAACATAAATGGCCAAAGTTGATTTGTTGGGTGTTCACTGTTGTTTTCAGTCCACAAATAATGTGTAATTGATGGCTCCCTCCCCATACCTTGCATTGTGTTTCTTTTGCATTGAAATGAATGGTGCAGAATAATGTAATGATAACGGAATTAACAATGTAAAATTCCACCATGGCAGACAGGGAGATAAGTAATGTAGTTTTTGTCAGAATATGAAGTGCAGTGGGACAGAAACAGCAATGAATGTGGGTTGGAACAGAAGTCGATGCCTTCTTACAAGCCTAATAGGACTCCCTACACAAGGAGAAGCTGCCCCACATTTGCTTCACTAACAGAGAAAGCTTGATAAACAAGTTATTGTGCCTCTAGTGTTGTTCTTCTCAGACACCAAACAAAACAGAGAAGCCTCACTTCATGTGGGGCTCCATATGTACAATAAAAAAGGTAAAAAGGCAAAGGACCCCTGGATGATTAAGTCCAGTCAAAGGCGACTATGGGGTGCAGCGCTCATCTTGCTTCAGGCCAAGGGAGCCAGTGTTTGTCCACAGACAGCTTTCCGGGTCACGTGGCCAGCATGACTAAACCGCTTCTGGTGCAACGAGACACTGTGATGGAAACCAGAGCGCTCAGAAATGCCATTTACCTTCCCACCACAGTGGTACCTATTTATCTACTTGCACTGGTATGCTATCGAACTGCTAGGTTGGCAGAAACTGGGATAGAGCAATGGGAGCTCACTCCGTCACGGAAATTCAAACCGCTGACCTTCTGATCGGCAAGCCCAAGAGGCTTAGTGGTTTAGATCACAGCGCCACCCATGTCTAATGTACAATGAAGCTCCACAAAACATTGGATTGGGAAAAGTTTATATACTTATAGAGAAAAAGACCATACTTGCCTGAATCTCCCTTTTCACCTTTAATCCCTTGTGCTCCTGTTGCTCCTGATTTAACACAGAAGGAACAAATGAATGATGGCACATCTAGATAATTTTTTGCATTAATAAGGTTCAAATGGTTTTTTTTTTAGTTTCCCTTAACTGCATAAGATATCAGTATTTCTGGTTTTTGCCTAGTGCAAAAGCTGCCAAGTTTCCTAATCATATTCAGGAGATGGGGAACGCAGCCCCCCCCGACCCAGACATGCCCTCTTCCTCTTCCTTCTTCTGCCTTCTCATGTTCAATTTCACTCCTCTAAGCACAGTGCAACATTGCTAACCGTGGTTAGGTCAAACCAAGTGTAATGATCATTGCAAACTGTGGCTTGGAGCTAACTGCTGGAATATAGTGGCTAAGAAACTGGACTATGAATAAGAAAATTCCCAGTTCAGAAGTAATCTCTGCCATGAACTTGGTGCCAATATAAAGCACCTCAGATAGTAATCATTCGTCTCTTTCTGTCTTGCCTTCTTTCTTTTACCTGTATATCCCTGAATGCCTCTGTCTCCTTTTCTTCCTGGTTCGCCTTTCACCCCATTAGATCCGGCACTTCCTTTTTCACCAGGCATGCCTTTGCTCCCTAAGTAAGAAAGGTGGGTGTCTCGATTTCACAGGGACAAGACAACAGCAAATGGCACAAGAGGCATTACCTGCAGAAGCCATGAAACCATTATTGTGCAATAACCAAATGGATCCTGCCATTCCTCTGCCTTTTCCACAGAAATGAAAGTTAAGGATTGTGGTCCTAGACACAGAGTAAGCCCTGGGGAACACAGTGGGCTTTATTTATTTATTATTTAAATCTGTATGCCGCTTTCTCCATTAAAACATGCTCAGAGTGGCTCACAACAGAACAGCAAAACTGCAAATCACTACATCATTACAATAGAAGTCAAAGGTCGAATAATTTTAGAACGTAACACAGCAACCCATCAAATGGCCCCTGGAAAGTTGCAGGGAAAGGAATGTGGCCCTCAGATAAAACTCAGCGGAGCAATGAATGTGAATTTCACCTTTGTACTGTGGGCTAATTTCTGCACACAGTCACATATTCCTCTCTATCCTCCATTCAGTCAAAAAAGAGGCATTATTAGAGTTGATGTTCACCAGGTAGCAACCGGGGCAGATCCTTTTCAGTAGTGCTTCCCCAATCTCATGATTGCTCTCTCTAGAGAGGCTCAAGCTATTTTTATTTCCCCAAGCTTTTAAAGCAACTTTTTAAGTAGTTGGGGTACTGGTTTTTGCTTCGTCCTCTTGAGAGTTTATATGCCCATGTCACTATTATAGCTTTGCTGCATTTTAATACTGCATTGCATTGTATTTTTGCATTATGTTTTAACTGTAAGTCACTCTGGGGAGCATAATAATAATAACAATAAAGAAGAAGAAGAAGAAGAAGAAGAAGAAGAAGAAGAAGAAGAAGAAGAAGAAGAAGAAGAAGAAGAATTGATTATTTCTACCCTGCCCATCTGACTGGGTTTCCCCAGCCACTCTGGGTGGTTTCCAACAGAACATTAAAAACAGAATAAACCTTCAAACATTAAAAACTTCCCTAAACAGGGCAACCTTCAGATGTCTTCTAAAAGTCGAATAGTTGTTTATTTCCCTGACATCTGATGGGAGGGCGTTCCACAGGGCGGGCTCCACCACCGAGAAGGTCCTCTGCTTGGTTCCCTGTAACCTCACTTCTCGCAGTGAGGGAACCGCCAGAAGGCCCTCAGCGCTGGACCTCAGTGTCCGGGCTGAACAATGGGGGTGGAGATGCTCCTTCAAATATACCGGTACTGGGCCGAAGGTATGGAGTACACAGCTTTGATTCTACTGAGTCGTCACTTTCATTTAGGAACTCCAGCAAATGCCTTACCTGTCATTCCCTGATCTCCCTTCGACCCTTTACTTCCTGGTATGCCTAAAATCATGGGGGTGGAGGGAGGGGGAAAGAATATAAAGCGGCAAATCCAAAGACAATGGGAATTTCAAACTTTTGCTTAATATTCAAAATTCTACTACATGTATGTATGAGATAAAGTTTTAACTATGTGGATGCAAAAGAGCCCTGCCACCTCCATATAGACAGCTGTGATGCATGGGGAGTGGGGAGGTGGATTGGGAGCTGCTAACCAGAATGGGGCAGGGTGAGAGACAGCAGAGAGGTCAGGGGAACGCTGGGTTACATAGGTGCCAACTCCCTGGGGCCCTGGGTGCTTGAGCAGCCACAAAATTTCCCCTTGAAAGGACTGAGCACCCACAAATTTTGGTACCAGGGCCAGGCACGCCACATGGCACCCACAGCCCCAGGCACCCACGGTCGCAGGGCCAAGTTGGGTTAGCAGTGCACACCTGTGGCATACCAACACCACCAATCACACTGCAGCCTTGCCTTATCCCGCCCTCTTCCTGCCCCAGTGAGTGGCAGCAGGGTGATGGGGGGGTAGAGGAGTGCCCCTCCTCATGCACTGCTGCTGCAGGTAGAAGTGGGAGAAATCCCATCTAAATCTAGAGAGCAGCTGCCAGTCATCATAAGCCAATGTAGCCAACATAGTGCACTCCAAACACTGCTCGATTCAAACTCACAACAGCCCCAGCCAACATGGATCATGGTCAGAGATTACTGGAGCTGTAGTCCACACTGGGTACTGGGTTAGATGGACCAGTGGTCTGATTTATTTCTCAAAAAAAAAAAAAAAGGACAGGAGATCCATGCTAGGAATGTGTATTGCACCACTCCATGGCTATTTTCCTCAGGGAATTTTCACAGGAGAGACTATGTCCCATTGATTTCTGTAAGGCAGTTTAGTGTCCTGAATTAGCTAGAACTGGGGTGAGGAGAAAGTGGAGCAGAACCTACCAGCAGATCTCTGGGTAATTTTTCCGGAACTGGAAATGCCAACTATACCTTGATCAGCTTTTGACCAGGCTGTCAGAGGTCAGATAGCTCTGAAGCTAGATTCAGCCTGGGGAATGTTGGAGAACTAACAGACCGACTTTGAATAAAAACTCTTTTCCACTGGTGATACATCTCTGTAAAACACTTAGATACCACAGCAAAGGATTTGTCCTGGCCTTATGGCATCTCACATCTCTCTGAATTAGATGTGTTTTGCTCACACACTGGGTTCTTCCACTTCCATTTATATTTTTACCTGGATCGCCTTTGTAACCCCTTTCCCCCCGATCGCCTTTCACTCCTGGTACTCCTGAAAGAATAAAGGGGAAGGTCAGGTCAGAAACTTCGTGGGAATCAGTATTTCAACAGATTGAGCAACATTCTCATTTGTATACCTCTCAGGGTGCTTGCTTCTCCTTTCTGTCCTTTCTCCCCTTGCGCTCCCTTTGGGCCAGGACTTCCTGGTGGCGCCATGCTGCCTGCAGGACCTTGTAAGTGAACCAAAGAAGCTTGGTCAAAGCCAGAATGACACTGAGAGAGCAATCAAGCACTGAAGTATCTGTCATATTTGGTGAACGAGGGAAGGTTTAGAAGGACTGCAGCTTAGTGCTGGCAGTGCTCCTGCCTTGCATGCAGAAATAAAGCTCCAGGTTCGATCCCTGGCAACTGGGATTGCCCCTTGCCTGAAACCCAAGAGACCTGCTACCAATCAGTGTTGACAACACTGAGCTAAATAGTCCAATTGGTCTGACTCAGAATAAGGAAGCTTCCTCATCCTTTTAAAGGCTCAGGACAAGACATCCCTTGACAACAACACAGTATCAGAACAACACAGCACTTGTATTCCACAGATGCCTCTCTCTTAAATACTGCCTTCCAACAAAGGGAAATTGTCTTCTTCAGTCATTTCACACCAGCTTCCTGCTGATTTATCATTTTGCATTTGTGTGTATAACCACAGACTTTGGCTGCAAATCTATAAAGTAGCATGATAGTTAGAATGGACAAGGCCAGAGAGTCAGAATTCATTTTGATTATTAAGTCACCACCAAACTTATTGACAAACCTGAGGAAAACAAAAGCCTTTTAATGATCGTAGAGGCATCTGTTGATCAACCAATGGCAGCTGATCAGCATTTCCTTTTTTGCTGTTGTAGCAAGTGATGCGCAAGTTAGTCCTGAACCTCTTGCCCAAAAATCTACTGAAGAAACCAAAAACAGCAACTTCCCAGCAGTATTTCGCTAGATAAGTCAGTCATAGTTTGCCTCAGGACCCCAGAATGGAACTGTTTCAAAGAATATTTGTCTTTTTAAGTAATTCTTAGGAGTTAGTTCCAGGATGGTGAAATCAGAAGCAGTTTACTAGTAAAATCCTAGGCATGTTTACTCAGAGGTAGGTACCACTGGGTAAGTATTATTAGTGTACAATCCATATCACATTTACTTCAGAGTAAGCCCCACTGAACAGAGTTACACTTCTGGGTAAACATGTATAGGATTACACAGTTAGAGAAATTTATGTTGATTAACTATTCAATCCTAGGCATATCTGCTGAGAAACAAGCTCTGCTGGATTCAGTTGACTTACTCTCATGTAAGTGTGTACAACATTGCAGTCTAAATAGAACCTTAAATGAAGCACAAATGGTAGGAAGTATTTGTGTTAAATTGCATTTAACCTGGTTGTCCAGGAGGTTAATTGCAATATACCTGGTTGTCCAGGAGGTCCTTGGGGACCACGTGTACCTGAAATAAAACATAAATGAACATAAGAGAACATAAATGAACACAAAGAACATAAATTGCTAGTATATGGGATGCTTCTATCTTTATTTTGCAGCTAAGTTACAAATAGCTAAGATAATATAAGGAGGCATGAGAATAGGAACGGGAACAGAGTCTTGGACTGGGGCATAGGGGGTGTTGCTAGCAGGGGTAATGTTGTTGCTGCTGTTATTGATATTAATTTTTGATCTTATAATTTATGTGGAAATTGTTCGATTTGGTTGTGTACTTTTCATTGTGTTTTATTTATTGTTTATTACTTCTTTTGCTATGTTTGTAATCATGTAAATCTTTTCCTGCTGTAAGCCTCCTTGAACATAGTTTTAACTATAGAAAGGCGGCATACAAAAAAATGATGATGATGATGAACAGACACCTGAACAGAATATAAGATGAAAAGAGAAAAGCAGCAGCTGATTTGTGCATGCCTGCATGTAACTGTGGCAAACAGTATCACTGGATTCCAAGAAGATTAACAGAAATATGCAGAAGGAAGAACTATTCAGTTTGTGTGGTCCTGATAAACCATGGTTTAGCTTCCCATGTTGTGCAAACCAGGCCTTAGAATGCCTGTCTGTCTTTACCCTTAAGAGTGACAAGATCCAGGCATGGTTTTCTCTGGTTATATTCTTCCCTTATGGTATCTGAACTGAGCACTGACAAGATGAAGATTCAGGGAGTCTTGGGCTAAGTCAGTAAGGCTAGTCTCAAGCCTAAAAGCATGGCAAGGTGTCGTTTAGGTTTGGCACTTTGCTGTGTCCACTCACCTGGCAGGCCTCGTTCTCCCTGCATGCCCTTCTCTCCTGTGAGACCAACTGGTCCTCTTGGGCCCAGATCCCCCTTTCCACCAGCTGGTCCTTGGAGTCCTGGAAGACCTACAAAACAAGCTTGTTTCAGGCGTTAGCACATACAATATATTATTTGTTAGATTCCTTATCTGCCCTTCACCATAAACTCCCAAGTTAGAACAATGTGTAAGTGTTGCCAAAGGAAACAATAAAACTCTTAATAACCTCTCCCCTAACCACTCCAAACATTGAACAAGCTTTCAATGCATGTTGATTTTATGCAGCTTTTGTTTTAAAGCTCCTGGAAGAGACGGGGTCAATATTTTGTTGCTTGGTGACCAACAAAAACCCTGAGGGCTAAGCTCTATAGAGCTGCACTAGGCTGCCCAACCTAACTGATATTCAACCTGAGAGTACAAGGCGGGCAGTCCTTTCCAGGTCCCAGTCAAGCAACCCATGGGCTTCCCCTTTACAAGTATGGCGATAAAGTATGGTGACAATGCTGAGTCTTGAGTCTGTCTGCCAGTATTGTCTCTACTGCTGTTCACTATTTAACTGTTTCAACTACTTTAAACATTCATGTAACGTTGCTGAACAAACTGACTGCACAGTAATTTTTCCTGGCTTGCAACTGCCTCTCTCCTCTGGTCCTCATTTCCTGTGTGTGATAGTTGACTTCCCTTACGGACACACTTTCAGAACAAGGAACTTCCACTTTTTAAGACAGGTTCCTCACCCTTATTCATAAGATGGAGCATAAAGCCCTCCTTTAACTGTGTGTTGTGTGTGTGTATTGCTATTTCTCAGACCTTCCAAGTGTCCCTATTTTCTAGTGACGTCCCTGAGTTAGAGAAGCCATCCTGGTTTCTGATTTGATCCTGGGTTGTCCCACTTTTCCTTAGGATGTCCCTATTTTCATTGGAGGAATGTTGGAGGGTATGGAGTTATCTGCCTCCTGAACTGTCTGAAAGCAATCCTGTATAGGGAAGGTTTTTAAAAATGTTTAATGTTTTGTTATGTTTTTTTATGTTGTAAGCTGCCCAGAGTGCGGGGGCAACCTAATAAATGTGTGGGGTATAAACAGTAAAATTATCATTATGGAATGGGATGCCCCTATTTTCATTGGAGAAATGTTGGAGGGTATGAACTCTGCCTTTCTTCTCTCTCTTGGGTTTCAGAAAGCAAGGAAACCAGGGCTTCAATGGAAGAAGGAACTTGGTCTGCTATAACTTCTTAGACAGGACAAGAAAAGCTATGCCTGCTGGATTTTCCATTCTACACAACTGCTGAAGATAAGGAGGGTCTTCTAGTGCCAGGGATGCAGAGGGAGGGGAACGGCCTTGAATAATAAATCAGTAATAATACTAAATTCCTTTGTATTCCTGTAAAGTACATTTCATAAAATGGAAACATTAATTAATAAATCCCAATTCACTAGAGAGGCTAATGGTTTCATACCTAGCTTTTAGCTGGTGTGCACTTTTAAGAAATGTTACCGTCAAGAAAAGTATACTGAAAATTTGATCCATTTCTCGATCTTCTATGCATTATCTTGGCTCTTTTCTGCATTGGTGATGTTCTGGTTTTTTGGGGGAGGGTTTTGCCTTCTCTTTTTAGCATGCATGCCCCTGTTAAGGCTTGCAAATGCCAATTTAATGGAAGTTGCACGTTGCATAATTCTTCTGTTTAACTAAGACAAAACTCTGGCTTATACATGATACAAACAACTCAGAAATCGACTTCACAATATCTCCAACTAGCCAAACACACACATGCTTATGCATATAAATTACACCGTATTAGTTTGTACCAGATAAATCCTACTATAAACACCTTTGCATTAATCAGAGACAGAAAGATAATTAAATACTCATTGCCTGTATTGCATACACATATGCCCAAAATGAAATATTAGACTGTACAGAGTTAAATTTGCTTTCTCCCTTTTCCAGTGCCTGCCTGATTCTGTGACACAGTGTATAAAGAAAATAGGTCATTATACATATTGTTGGCCTCTTTCAAAGACATGCATAGAGTTGACATGTTGTCATAGGGCTGTTTGAGGCCAATTTAATGATGTTTGCAAGAACATCATCATCAGTTCTGGAAAATGAATCTAAAGGTATATAGCCTTGGCTACTACAAGCAACCCAATACCTTGCTATGTCTATAAAAACAGCTAGTCTGGCCCAATGGCTGGTTGCCTCCCCAGATTAACTCCATCATCCAAACTGGCATGATGGGAAACTGTGGGTCTATGTCTGACCTACCATGCTAATCACCCCCTACTTTTCATTGTTCAGCAGGTACCACATGCCAGGCCCCAAGAGCACCAAACCAAGGAGCCTACACAAGCTGGTCAACAATAGGAGGTTAGCAAAGTGCCTTGCTCCCAACATGCATGAGGGTGCTGACCTTCCTCTAAGTCACTTACCTGGTCAGCAGCTGGTCCACATTGCTAGCTATCATTTCAAAGGGGGAAAGGTAACTCCACTGCCTGCTTAGTTTCTGAGATATACAGGACAGTCTACAGGCAATAGTTCAGAAAAACACAATTCTGCTCCTGCCTCCCAATATCTTAGGGAAGTCAGTATAATGATTACTAATATGGGCAACAGTGATAATCTTCATACTATTCCACACCATTGCATGTGGTGACCAACTGATACAAGCTGGATCAACTCAAGCAAGCAGGAGAACAGTCCTATCTAGAAATGGGTGAATCTGTCCATTTGTTTCCTCAGTTTCTTCTCCAGTCTGAAGTTCAAGTCTCCACATTTCCATATCAGTTTGCCATTATTCTTATTTTTAAGTCCTCATGAAAATCATCAGCATTTTAGTGCAAATTTCTCCAAATATTAAATATCATAAAGATTATGAACACTCTTGGCAAAGTCTTACCTTGAGGTCCCCTGTCTCCCATTTCCCCTTTTGTTCCTGGTTCACCTTTTGGACCAGCCGGGCCAAGATTTCCTTCAGATCCCTTTTCACCATCAAGTCCATTTAAACCTGTATTTTTTTAAAACACACACGAACAAAATTGTGATTTATTTATTTGTTTGTTTTAAAGCAACACAGTTGCTACACTAGTGATTCCACTGCCTTCTTTTGGAAGTACGGTGGTTCTTTGGTTCTTGAATGGCTTAGTTGACGAACAAATCAGCTCCCGAATACCGCAAACCATGAAGTAAGTGTTCCGGTTTGCAAACTTTTTTGGGAAGCCAAACGTCCGATGTGGCTTCCGCTTAAGTGCAGGAAGCTCCTGCAGCCAATTGGAAGCTGTGCCTTGGTTTTTGAATGGTTTCAGGAGTCGAATGGACTCCTGGAACAAATTAAGTTTGAGAACCAAGGTTCCACTGTAATTTGATGTAAGTGGTTTCAGGTCTTAAAACAATTCTGCCTGTGCACATTGCAGAATGTTTACAATGGTCACAGGATGCCTTGCCACCAGAAATGTACATGTTAATTGTTCCCAGGACACATGAAAGCTGCAATTTGAGGAAACTGGCTTACTTGTGATGGCATCTTATGACATACTGATTGTCAGAAGCCAGACCTTTTATTGGGTCCTCACACAGCCACTGAGTCTTCTAAGTCATCTGAAATTTGTACTGTTAGTTTCCAGTCATTGCTTTCTCCTAGTTTAAGCAGCTGTGTGTTTTGTTCTATCACCTTGGTTGAGTTATCTGAATCCTCGCTCAAAGCAGGACTGCCAGCTGGGTGGTTGTAAATATGCCTTACTGGTTTGTAGCTTGGCCTTAATTCTTGAAAAACTGACACTCTCAACTTGACATGCATTTGGATAAACGTGCACATGGAAGGTAGATCTAGGAATGGCTGTTAGCTCTGGAAGCTAGAGGGGACTTATATGTTCAGAGACAATCGTAGCTACCTCTGATTACCAAAGGTGAGGACAAGCCACAGGGGATATCTATCATTTCCATGCCAAATCTGTGAATTTCATAGGGACATCTGGCTTGTTACAGCTGAAAACAGAATGCTGGACTAGGTGGACCTCTGGGCTGATCCAGCTAAGTTCTTATGTGCATATACAAAATTGGAGGGGAGGGGTCTATTTTAAGAAAAAACAATAAGAATGGCACATTCTACCATGTTCAAATATATAAAAGGATGTCACATAGAGGAGGGAGAAAGGTTGTTTTCTGCTGCTCCAGAGAAGCGGACACGGAGCAATGGATCCAAACTACAAGAAAGAAGATTCCACCTAAACATTAGGAAGAACTTCCTGACAGTAAGAGCTGTTCGACAGTGGAATTTGCTGCCAAGGAGTGTGGTGGAGTCTCCTTCTTTGGAGGTCTTTAAGCAGAGGCTTGACAACCATATGTCAGGAGTGCTCTGATGGTGTTTCCTGCTTGGCAGGGGGTTGGACTCGATGGCCCTTGTGGTCTCTTCCAACTCTATGATTCTATGATTCTATGATTCTACCAGCGGTGGAGCAAGCTGATCGGGCTCCTGGGGCGGTATGCAGGGTGGGGCCAACTGTCTGTGGGGGCGGGGCAAGCCAGGGCAGGATGCTCCATGGGGCCTCTGAGGAATCTGCCTGCCTCCTCCCCTTCAGCCGCCCTACAGCTGAGGGGGAGGCGGTGGGTGGACTGTTTGAGCAGTGGGGAGCTTGCAGTCATGCAAGCCACCGTGTCACTCCCAGGAGAGACGCATGGCTCGGGCACGCTGCAGGCCCCGTGGTGAGTGCCGCCTGGCATTTTGTCTCCACCCCTGCATTCTACAACTGGATAGATTGCTGTAAATCAGCCTCCCCCCAGTCTGGTGCCCTCCAGATGTTTTGGGCTACAAATCCCACCAGCCTAGTCAGCATAGCCAAATGGTCAGGAATGCAGGGAATGATAGTGAAAAACATCTGGAGGTCACCAAGTTTGGGAAGGCTGGTGTAAATCAATATCAGGGATAGATGCTGTTGACCTACAACTTCTATCATCCCAGATCATTGGCGATACTGGCTGGGACTGATGAAAGTTGTAGTCTGGCAAAAGCTGGAGGGCACCACATTGGCTACCCTGATCTGGATTATTGCCATAATGCTGGTTCAGTTACTCTGGTAGTGCCAGTGGTGTAATGCAAAGAAGATTTCTCAGTGTGCATCAGAATGCTGCTGGCATTACACCTAATATGCCTTCATCCATTGCAAGCCAGTGGAAGGGGCCTTACCTTGCAGTCCTTGCTCTCCTTTCGAACCCTTTGGCCCCATGGTTCCTGAAATAAAAATACAGAGAAATAATAATAAAGTGGAGAAGAAGGGAAATTATCAAATGCCTTTTTTGATATTGTGTCCAGTTTTGACTTAACTGACCTATGGTGACTTAAGCATCCGTTAGATTGCCAATTTACTTTTTTCAAATGCAAACAATTCTTCAAACACTTGTTTCTGTGTTGGTGAATGCAGAATTTAGTTACTCTCATATCAGTTGCTTTTGTAGTTTTAAAATTTTATGATTGTAATTGTACATTCTTTTTTGGGCTTTGGAAAAATTAACAACTATGGTAAACGGGGTAGACATTCAACCCAAGACATTATCTGATCACAATGCCATCTTGATAACAGTATTAACAGGTGAGAAATGTTCTTCGTTTAGGTAGAGGTTAAATTATATGGTATTGCAAAATGAAAAAAAAGATGAGTTGAATATATGGAAAATAACTATACAGCTGAAAATGCTGGCAACACTAAGATCAATTCAGCAGAGTAAATAATTTTTAATGGATGTAAAAGTGGAAAACTGATTTGAATGATTATAGTAAAATTAAAAAAAAATTCCTTCCAGTAGCACCTTAAAGACCAACTAAGTTAGTTCTTGGTATGAGCTTTCGTGTGCATGCACACTTCTTCAGTATCTGTATAGTAAAATAAGCAGGAATGTATGATACGTAAAATGAACCATGAAAAAAGAAGAATGGATGTCATTGGATATTTTAAAGTTTGTAAAATGTTTATTTTGAAATGTAAAATTGAAAACTTAATACAAATTATTATAAATAATAGTAAGCTTGAAAAGCAAATGAGGTGGAATTTCACCTGCTTTTCAACATTTGTTTCTACAGCTCTTCTTTCATTACCTGTATCGCCCTTCTCTCCCTGGGTACCTGGAGGTCCTCTCATCCCTGGAGATCCTAAAATATAAATACATTGAGGTTGCAGTCCTCTTTACAACTACCTCGAAGTGAGTCCCATTGACTACAGTAGCATTTACTTACCAAAAAACTTATATAGAAAATGGGAAATGAAGACCCTTTCCAAATATCACTAAGGGCATGTCACTATATAAACACGCACCTAGAACTCTGAAGAGAGAAACATGGATGGGAGAAGCGAGGATTGCAGTAGAACAGTGGAGGAGTTAGCAAAGTATCAATATTCCCTGACTCTTTTCTCCAATTCAATCCAATTTTCTCCTCCCCTTCTTTAAAAGAAGGGCTCCTATCTTGAGTTTAACATCTCTATCCAGAATGAGGTGTGGGCATGCAATTCCCATCGCTTTCCCTCCTAAACTTAAAGGAACTGCCCCCTCTACTCTCCTTGATTCTGCTGGAGCATTTAGAAAGTACGGTTGATTCATTTTATAATGTAAGTCTTCCTTAAAGGTAAGGTAAAGGTACCCCTGCCCGTACGGGCCAGTCGTGTCCGACTCTGGGGTTGTGCGCCCATCTCACTTAAGAGGCCGGGGGCCAGCGCTGTCTGGAGACACTTCCGGGTCACGTGACCAGCGTGACGAAGCTACTCTGGCGAGCCGGCACCAACACAGCACTCGGAAACGCCGTTTACCTTCCCTCTAGAAAGCGGTACCTATTTATCTACTTGCACTTTAGGGGTGCTTTCGAACTGCTAGGTGGGCAGGAGCTGGGACTGAAAGACGGGAGCTCACCCCGCCGCGGGGATTCGAACCGCCGACCATGCGATCGGCAAGCCCTAGGCGCTGAGGATTTACCCACAGTGCCACCCGCCATCCCTGTCCTCCTTACAGGCTTGCAAAGGCGCTACATCTCCATTATAGGGGCACAGAAGAGCTGCTCATCCCTTTCAACAATTCCTGCCATAGACCCAGTGTAAGTGCCTCTGTTCAATTGTGGGTTCAAGAGAATTGCCCAAATGTTTACAGGTATTATAGTGCCAGAGGTGGGCAAGCAACATTACCAATTTCTCCTTTTGGTCCAGGCAATCCTGCACCTGAAAACAACAACAGCATGTCAAAAATGTTAAACATTGATCCCCATCCCCCTCCACTCCTTGAAGATTTGAGATTTCATGTTCTTTGCTTGTCCTTTGGTCCTGGTTCTCCTTGGCTTCCTCTTAAGCTGATGCCTCCTTTCTCACCTTTACTTCCTGAAAGATGTCCAGAACATGTGTGTGTTGCAACTCGAATACACTGTACTTATTGCAAATGGCTGAAGCTCCTATCTTACCTTTCCTCACTTAATCAAAGTCACATATTAGCCACATAATTTTTATGGGTTTCACACTGAACCCTGTTTGCCTGCCTGCCTGCCTGTTATTTCATTTTATTGAAGATGTAAATTTTCACTCATTAAGATGTGACATCAAACATATTTCTGCATCTTTCAGTGGTCCCATTCAGGCACCACAATCTCAACACAAGATTGTACAGTACAAAAAATGAGCCATGTGCTCATTCCTAGCCTGGTTTGTATTTCATAATCTGGTTTGGAAGTTGTCCTTAATCCACAGTTTCCTGGTTTGGATGTCATGTGAAACTGTGTTGTGCATATGAACTTGCAATCCTATCGGCCCTTGTTTCTGTGTTGGTGAATGCCGAATTTACTTACAGTGGTACCTCGGGATAAGTACTTAATTCATTCCAGAGGTCCGTTCTTAACCTGAAACTGTTCTTAACCTGAAGCACCACTTTAGCTAATGGGGCCTCCAGCTGCCGCCGTGCCGCCGGAGCACGGTTTTTGTTCTCATCCTGAAGCAAAGTTCTTAACCCGAGATACTATTTCTGGGTTAGCGGAGTCTGTAACCTGAAGCGTATGTAACCTGAAGCATATGTAACCCGAGGTACCACTGTACTCTCATATCAGTTGCTTTTGTGGTTTGTAAATTTTATGATTGTAATTGTACGTTCTGTTTATGCCTATTTGTCATATATTTGTCTGAGAGTAAATAATAAAATACGAAAATAAAATAAATGAGAGCAATCAAATAGGGCTGTTGGGTCATCTGCAGCTGCTTCATAGGACTTGGGCAAGATCTGTAGATGGAGAGATTCAAAATGATGCGTTTGCACCCACCTGGAGGTCCCGGAGGCCCTTGAAGTGCGTGGCTTTCCAGTTGTTCTGAAACAGATATTGATAGCTACTAGAAATTTCCTACCAATGGCAGAAGACGTCTACAGTTAAAATGAAACCTTTAAAAGAACAAACTCTAGGCAGAATTCCACCAGCTCATTAGTTTCAGTGAAAACTGTAGCAGAAGAGGACAATTGTTTTAATGGGGAGTCCAAAAAACGTTTTCCCCTCCCCCAAATTTACTCTGATCATGCTTGTCCTCAGGATGCTATACAGGCTTAGAGTAAGTGAGCTGGACTTTCACATGAAACTGCTTAATGCTGCAGTTCACACCCTGAACAGTACCAGGCTATTGTTATTGACAAGCTCAGCTTTAGAAACAGGACTGGGCTCCTGACAATGGGCTGGGCTGCATCAGAGCACTACACTTTCTTTGTTTCAGCATACATGCCTTCACTGTGAAGCCAGAGAGCCGTGTAGTGCAAAGGTACCATTTGGAGGAAGCTTCAGCCTTATTGAATGAGCCGTTAATGCATTTCTCTTCACTACAAATTGTCTTAGAGAGACTGGCTCCTTTCTCCGAGAGGCTCAAACACCGATTATAGATTGCATTAATGACTTATTCAATAAGACGGAAGGCCTAATTGCCAGCCAGGGCAGTAGCTCCTGTAATGGACTCAATAACCACTGGTGATTAGTTTTATTGGCTTTACCTTCCCGTTGTGTGTATATATACTGTTTCCTCACATCTTGATTCCTCCCCTCTTTCCCTTCCCTTGCTTTTTTGTTAAAAAACAACAACACCCTGTCTTTTGTGTAGTTCATGTGAAACATGTAAGATTGGATGGGAAGGTTCCTGAAATGCCTATTCACACATTAACTGCCCCCCAAAATGATGTCCAGCCAAGGAGAAGAAAGAAAATACCTGTAAAATTGGTCATTCTCCATTCTAAATGTTGGTTGCTCAGTTTGATTATGTGAATTTCTTCCTTTAGATTTCTGACCCAATTGTCTCCTTTTCTTTGTGAGCTTGCCTCCATTTGCTCAATATCATTGGCAAGCATGGTGTCATTGACAAAATAGCTTGCCAGTTTTTCTGCTAAAGGTAAGTTGACTTTGTTCTTTTCCAAGTCTTTGTTCATCTCATAGACTGAAAGAAGAGGAGAAGAAATCATGACATAGGTAAAGTACAATGATGTGTGTTATGTACTGAGCTTGGATCCTAGAACAATAGGCAAGTAGGATCCTAGAAGGCAGCATCCTGATTGGTCTGCAGGAGCTGCCCAATCCGGCTCCAGAAGGAAGTGAATCACGTGCATCGCCTCTTTCTTAACAGCTGCTAATCAAATGTTTACCTTCTACACTCATTTTGTTATTTTCCCAATATGGTAATGCAATATTAAGACTGCAACCCTATCGCCAAGGAACATACTGCTAAGCAGACATGTATAGGATTGCATTTTAAAGTGAAGAACTTCCCCATTTATCCAAATCTAAGAGTCACAAGGTCTTTTCAAGAGCTAGGTTTTAGTGCAGCAAATGTGCAACGGGAAAGGGCCATAACTCAGAGGCAGAACCCCTCTCCTGTATGCAGAATGTCCCAGGCTCAATCCCCACCATAGGGTTGGGAATGTTCCCTGTCTTAAGCCCTGGAGACCAGTTGCACGTCAGGGTAGACAATACTGAGCAAGAATGTTCTGACTCGTTATAAGTCAGGCTCCTATGCGCCTAGATGTATTTTCTAGCGATTGCAAAGATACCACATTTTGTGAGCCTCGGTGTCACAGTGTTTTGTACCTGGGAGAATGTGGTTCCACCCCACTCTCCAGCAGCACATCTATTATTGTTACTACTGCCATGTAAAATATGGTTGTGCAACTGTTTGCCTATTGCTTATAGTGTGAATGATGACGGATGGCACAAATTCCCCCAGTTCTTGTGTCCACACAGTAGTAGGGCTAGCACACCACAACAAGGCCACTTCCCCCTCCTTAATCCATTTGCTATTGACTGCCTATGACTTCATTAACTTAGGAGGGGCCGATCATGCAAAAGCTATAACGTAGTTGGGGGCAGGCATTCTCTGATTGTTCAGACCTATAAAATAACCAGATAGTGGCAGCCCAAAGCCACTTGTTCCACAGCTGGGGCCAAGTGAACGCATGCACACCCCATCCCTTGAGGAACAGAGCATCCAGTGATGGATTCCATCTGTGCTCTATCCAGAACCATGGACAGAACTTCCATATCACCCCATGCACAATGCTTTCGGACCGTGAATCACCTCACACACTCTGGCCCACTGCAGTGGCAAAGGTAACGTTTGAAGGTCAACAATCTTGTGGTCAGATTTGGCAATTTGGTTGTCTCTCTCTCACACACACACCAGCATTTTCGGCCCCCTCAAGTACCAGATGCTGGCATGGTAGAAAACCACATGGTCATCCCCATCACACACATGATAGATTTGTTCCACACATTTACCCACAGCAATATTGGAGCAGCCACACTGCTGTTGCAAGTGACGGATACTCCAGGCCTCAGCCGTGAGGCATTAAGTGGTAAGGAATCAAATGAAGCACATGCAGCTGGGGCTGGCTCTTGTTTGTGTGGCTTTATGGACATTTACAATGTCCCTGAGGTAAGCAGCCTTCAACCTTTTGAGTCCCATGACCCAACTTTAACCTCAACCCACAGTATGGGGTCCTCTTTGACTATTTTACCATATATGGCAAGACAGGCATGTTCTGTTCATCATCATTTTTACTCCTTGCTCCTTTCCCCCTCTTCCCCGTGTTCTTTTCTCTCTCACCCTCTTTCTATTTCAAAAAAGTCAACCAAAAAGAAAGAAAAATTGGTGATATCACTACCATGACACACTTTGTATCCAGCTATGATATAGGATCTGGTCACAGGACCCACCAGTTCAAGACCAGTGCCTAATGCCATTTGGATGAATAGGCTTGTACAATATTGTAATTCCTAATTACCCCAGCAGTATATTCTGAACAGCTCTGCATTAGAATGAAGAAGTCACTAGCAACCTGTAGGATAAGAAGCACTTGAAAGCACTTCTACCCAAGCTGTCACCAGGGTCCTTAAGATGACAAATTTGTCTAACATGTGGCTGGATGGGAGAACATCTGAGGAAATAGCTTGGGAGGCAAAAGGTCTGAGGGTTATTTACTCGCATGTACGGAATTTGGCCTCTGTGAATTGAGCAGCCTTTGTGTTTGTTTTTCACAAACACGTTACATGCTTGGGACTTTTAGAGTTGTAATATATTGTTACAGATCTGGGGTAACAAGAGTTTGAGGGTGGAAGGGAACCCATAACTGCTAGAGTTAGTGAATGTTAGAAATTAATTAAGGGGTAAGAATTAGTTGGTTTATGAAGTATTGAAGGGAAGATGCAGGCCAGTGGAAAAAGACAAGGTAAGCTCCCTTTCCAGGCCAGGGCCTCATCTGGGATGGAAGCCATTAAGCATGACAAAAGGTGTTGATGGGTCTTTGCCAACCGATCACATAGGATACAGGGAAATCATCACCTTTTAAAACTAGGCTTGGAACAGCAGGGAAAGGGGGATGAGTTGCCTGGCAAGGGGTTTTCTGGGAAGGAGAAGCAGGAGGTGAGGACAACTCTATGTTGGGGAGGGAGCTGAAAGGCAGACGCCATAGGGGCTGGCTGGAGACAAGCTGGGGCAGAGGCACAGAGGTGGTGCTTAGAAAGCCTCTGGATGCAATGCCCAGCTGCTGTGAAGGACAAGCCCTTCTTGGGATGTGAATGCTGTTAACTCTGCACTCCCTCCACCTGTACCCTGGTTGTAAATACGTGTTAATAAACCGTATCTCTTAAAGACATGACAGTCTCCACTGTGTTTTGATTCTCAGTGGAAACATGAACCCCCTGGAATCTTGCTGCCACAGCAGAGATTGGGCGTGGTGTGCAACCCTTGTAACAACTCTTTTGTGTGTGTGTTTGTGTTTTATACTGCCATTCTTTCTGAGTTTTTAAAGGTTTGACTAAAACTCTTTTTAAAAATGAGAACACACATGTTAGGTCTTCAGCAAATGATGCAGCTTTCATCCTCATCTAACCTCTTGTCCTGGTGGTTGTTTCCTTTCTGGAAACAAATTTACTTATTGGATATTTAAAATATAACCAGTGCACAATCTTTTATCTTTAGATTCAGGACAGGAAATAGCATTTAAAATCAATTACCTTTATAGGCCAACAGTCCGAAGCCTGCAGTGAGCAGAATCAGGTATATAGTAACCAGAGCCGAAATGCACCTTTTGCAAGTCTTTTTCTGGCCTTTGGGTTCTAAAGTTTTGGAGAGGAAAGAACACACTAAGAATTGATATTCCACCCTTTTGGCTTGCAAACGAGTGACCAATGTGCTGTGTTACTGTTTAAGGCTGCAGCCCTACGCACAAGTACTGAGAGTTAAAATCAATGACTTGCTTCTGAATAAATAGGGATCCTATCAAGCTGCATGGCTGAAGCTGACAGTGAATTCATGCAGAAGCAGGCTGTGATATAGTGCTTTTTAATAACTTTGTTCAACTTGGTTGTATTTCCAGACAAACTTTCCATTTGCTGGGTTCTCAGAACGGCAAATAGGGCTGTGCAGAGTGAAAAGCATGTTTCACTGAATGTTTAGCTAATGTTTACACCCAAACAAAAAAAACCATTGTGTGAACTCAAGTCCTTCGCCTCTTTCCCTTTGCTGGCCACAGAAATACAACAAAGGCAGCTAAAACCTTGTTTTATGGAAGCATCCATCTTCATATAGCCTTCATTCTGAAATGCAAGACAAATTAATTCTTCCTTTAAAGCACAGCGAAACATCTGCTTGTAGGCAGGAATACCCCAGTATAAAATATACACACAGCTTGTGTCAGTTGGCATGCTGTGTAATCACATTTAACTTGACACTTTTTTTAGTGAAATATTCAGAAATAGCATAAGTGTGATTTTTGTGTGTTATGCTGTGGGGAAGGGCGGATTAAAATACGTGCATGCTATTCTTAACTAATGTGAAGCACATAGACATTAATAAAGTGAGTAGTGGTCCCTAGGAATTCTCTAACCTCACCTACCTGGAAGCAAGGGCTACTGAATTCAATAGGGCTTATTGAGTATACATGGTTAGGGTTGTGCTGTTAAACCATTCAGTGCCATATTCTGCTAACTTTGTCAATGGCACAAATTTAAATAAGACGATGTTTTTAATGCAATTGAATCCCAATTAAACCTTTAAAAAGAAAAGCACCTTTGAACACTAGTAAAATGCCTTGAGATATTGTGCTTTTAAAAGTCTCTATCATTATGAAACAGTGAAAATACTTTACCATCTATTTCAAAGGGTGTAAATCCAGATGCTGAAAACTTCATCTTGTCCGAAAATGTAAAGGATCCGGTATCTTTGTCACTTCCAGCAAGGTTGTCCATGATCAAATTTTGACAGCCACACTACAATCTTGCCAGGATAACCTTAGGCACTGAAGAAGGAGGGGTTTCTGAGCTTTATCTGCTGGGAATGTGTGCTATTAAGCAAACCTTTTCTGTTGGCTTCGGGTTATTTTGTACTAGACTTGCAAAAAAACAAAACAAAACAAAAAACACCCAGCAACTTTCTGATGTGCCGTCTTCAGCACTTCCTCCAAAACTTCTAAGGAGGTTGGTCAATGCATGTCTTAATACAGAAAGCAAAAAAGATGTGCGTTAAAAAGGACGATGATGTGAATTTGATTTGTCAGTGTGAATCGCATTTTATAAAACTTTCAGGTAACAAATGCATTATTCCAGATCCAAGTAGGTAGCCGCGTTGGTCTGATGCACTCAAAATATAATATAATATAATATAATATAATATAATATAATATAATATAATAATATAATATAATATAATATAATATAATAATATAATATAATATAATAATATAATATAATATAATATAATATAATATAATATAATATAATATAATATAATATAATATAATATAATATAATAAACAAATGTAAAAATTGTCCAGTAGCACCTTAGAGACCAACCAAGTTTGTTCTGGGTATAAGCTTTCATGTGCATACACACTTCTTCAGATACACAGTGTGCCTGCACATGAAAGCTTATACCCAGAACAAACTTGGTTGGTCTCTAAGGTGCTACTGGACAATTTTTTAATTTTTTAAAATATATTTCAAAAGGCATTATTGTTGGATTGGCCTAACGTGCAGGCTTCAGATAATTAATGTGGCATAACAGAGGCTTTGCAGACAGGCTGGTATTTATGCTCCCTCTCGATCAGCCCACCTACCCTTTGAACTAATATTAAAATACTATTAGTTGAAATTAGCATAAATAAATAAATAAATAAATAAATAAATAGGCTTTGTTTGGGGCAGGCAAAAACTTTCAGGGTGCAAAACTGGGCCATACCCCCCCCCAACTTGAGGCTCCCCATTTATGTGAAGGGATCTCCACATGTAGAAGAGGGAGCTGAGGGGGGAGCTGCACTGTTGTGCCTGCTTCAACCCCACCCCTGCCGTGTCCATGCATTTTGTGTGGCTGCCTGCTTGCCCAGGGCTGGATTTAGGTTTGATGAGGCCCTAAGCTACTGAAGGTAATGGGGCCCTTTATATGTCCAGCTGTCCTTTGTCAACAACAAATTATCACTGTTTTTTGTGTTGAATATATGATGATTTATGGACCTAATAGATATCTAAAGCCATTTGCACATAACAAAATATGTATTTTATAAAAGTTAATTGTTCAACTGAAATACAATTGGAAATGTACATCCAGTCCCCCCCCTTAATTTTTTTTGGGGGCCCCCCAGGAGAGTGGGGCCCTAACCTATACCTTAGCTTGTTTAGCTTCTGCGTAAATCCGGCACTGTGCCTGCCCCTTTCTATACTTGGAACCGCATTCATGTGACTAATGTGTGAAAGATTTTAGTATTCAATGGCTAGAGCAAAAGGTTACTCTCAGACAATGATCCATTTCTTGTAAAATGACTGAGCTGATGATAGAATCGGTGAGGATTTGAAAGAACAGACACATGGGACTGGGCTTCTCACATGTCCCTTAATTGAAAACGTATCCTTTACTCCTGAATGTGTGACATTACCTCCAAATTTCAGGGTGTGCCAAACTAGCCCCACAGCACTTAATAGAAGACTGTGAACCAACAACAGCTTACACAGCTGATTTAGCATTTTAGTGCTAAAGCAGAAGGGGAGAAAGAGGTACCAGCTAGCATCATCCATTTGTGCTATGGACATTCTCTGGGGGATTTCTGTACGACTATGGGGGATTCTGTAAACTTTCTGCCTCCTTGTCTCATCCAATAAATGGCACAAGAAGACTAAACCTCTGCAAAATAGTAAAAATTTGCAGAACCAGTTATTCAAAATAAGAATTCATACCAAAATTGTATAGGTCATATGGGCCAACTTTTCCTGCCACTGAAACTGGACTAGCTTCCTATGGAATTTTTATATTTTTCCTCCATTATTATTTTTTAAATGCAGCCCACATTCAACTCTTCCTGAAGGCCAAAGCTCTACGAGGCAGAAGGTTCCCTGCTCTTATTTCTCTTTTTCCATGGGGGTGTTTGGCAGGGCTCCCCAAGTCAAACCAGATTGCTTTCAACCTATGCTGTCTGCTACCTCTGCCTATTATTTCTGATGGAGTTCAGGTAATTGTGTCCATGTTGCCTTTTGTAATTTGGTGTCCTGGCAGCAACAGATGTTGCTCCCCTAATAAGTACCACCTTGCCTGATTTCTCTTCCTCTCTGTGGCTCTAACAGATTAGTTTCTGAACATTTCGACCAATACTGCTCTAAATTAATTGCTTAACTAACTAATGACAATTAGAAGAGGGCCTTTGGAGAATAAACCAAATCAATCGGTTCCACAGAGGAGAAGGCTGATCAAACCTGGCTGTGATGTGGACAGTGATGGAGAAATGTAATAAGAAAGTGATTTGTGGAAGCCCCTTTCCTCATCCCCCGCCACAACCCTTCCTGCCACTTCCCCATTTTTCAAGCGAGCTTTGCAGAATTTAACAAAGTGGATTTTGAATGAAACCCAATGAAAAGCAGCACAACAGGAGGTATCACTGCCATAGAAAACAATGAAAGCAATGCAGAAACCCAGCTGGTACCCTGGGCACTGGAGCGGACTCTGGAATCTATTTTTTTAAAAAAGCAGTAACATGTATTTTAATTAATTGACTGTTGTTTTATGTAAATTGTGCTATTTTTGCTGTTCTTAGCCGCTCTGAGCTCGACTTTGGCTGGGGACGGCGGGATATAAATAAAATTATTATTATTATTATTATTATTATTATTATTATTATTATTATGACATTCACAAAGCTCAATGCATAAACGGTGTTCATTGGCAACAGTTGTGATTTTGTTTATCAGATCCCCACCTTATCTGAAAGGATAAATGTTGATTAAATAAGGGGAAATATGGGTTGGCATTTTGACAGCAATGGTGTCATGTGGGCACTGAAAAGAAGAAGAAGAAGAAAAACCATGCATGAGGATCACTTATCTCACAAGGAACACCATCTGGAAGCACCCAGTTGTTGTTTACATTGTGTCTGACAAAGGGGTTTAGTGGAAGAAATGAGGCTTGTATGTATGTATGTGGCCTGTGCGTGGCTTGAAGCAGATGCAGTTCTGTTGCCAGAACTGAAGGAATCTCTCTCTGTGTTCTTGGACAACTAAGAAATGCATACTGAAGTTTTAATACTATGGTATGGAAGCTGCTTGAACAACACACCAACCTTTATGTTCAAATACTAAGAAGATGTAACCAAAGAAACAACCTTTCTCCGCTAAGAGACAGAAGGAAGAGATCAGCAGATGAATCTCACATTCAAGTTGCATGTGTAGTCTTTCCTCTGCAGCATGGTTTGACAATCTGTTTTCTCGTAAGTATTCGCAGCAACTCATTGACTGCTGTTGTGAAATGGGTTGCTAAATAAAGGAAGAAAATGTGCTGATTCAGGTTGAGATTTTAGGCGTAGGGTTTTGTGTAAGCAGAAAGCTTATTAATAGCATCGTAGCTTCCTGCATGTTCTGTGAGTACCAAAAACCAGCCCCTGAGAGGAAGTATCCATGGTAGGGAGCACTCCATGGGAAATCCAGAAATGTGTAAACCAAGAACATGGCGTACACACAATATGAACAGTATGAACATATTATACATATTATACACTTGCAAAGTGTGAATGTTTCTGCATGCAATATCTCTCTTTTCATCTCTGGTGTGTGTGTGTTTGTTGATCTGGCAAAGTGGGAGGAAAGTGACCAACGTGCTGGCACCGATGTTACTTACTCAGAAATTCAAATGTGCTACACAGCCCAACAAGACGAATCCGCCAACATTACAGGGGTCAGCAAACTTTTTCAGTAATCCAGGAACATGCATGAAAATATCATGCAAAACTTATCTGTGACACTGTCAGGGCTCAGGCCTGTCTCAGTTGATTCCCCATAATAGAATAATAGAACTGTAGAGCTGGAAGGGACACAAAGGGTTGTCTGGTTCAACTCCCTGCAATGCAAAATAGATACATACATTTACTTGGCCTCAGTGAATACATCCTTGCTGAAAAGCAGTAAAAACACAGATGCTGAATAGTTGACATATCTCCATACAGTCCTGACAAGTTGCTTGGCTTTATCACACAAAATGAAGCCAAGCTCTGAGTTATGATCATTCCTGTATCATTAGGACTTTTGGGTGCTTTCTATCCCAATCCCAGCTGTGCTACCGATACAAAAAACCACCTGGAAAGTGTTTTGAAGACTCCAGCCCAGAAACTGAACTGAAATTGGGGTGCCTGGTAAAATAATCAGTGGGGTGGGAAGGGGCACCACCAGGGAGAGGAAGGGAGAGGAAGAGAAGAAATTATCTGCATCAAAGCAGGCAGGCCTGACAGAAATGATTCTCTGAGTCATCTTCCCCATATCATATGGGCTTAAGAGAGATAATATTATTTCCCTCAGCCAATCTAGAATATGATGCATAGAGAGAATAGATGTGTATAGAGGGACACCTTCCAAATCCACCATTCTCTGTTCACAATAATGCTACAGGAAGACATAGGAGAGATATGGTGCTGTTCATATCAAAGTTGTGTTCTGATGGATTGTCAGGACTAGAAGGTGCTTTTAGTCCTGGGATTCAAATGTGGTGTTAAGACCCCCATGCTCCCCACCCACTTTTGTTGCACTAGAGCACAAGAGTGTTTCTCAAGACAGCAATAATTTGATGACATTGGGGGTGCAGAAGAATGAATAAAGTGGAATGACGTGTGGGCAGTCTAGCATCAATTCACCATTAATGCACTATTTATTCACCAGTGACATGTTGCAGAATGCATCAGCAAAACAACAACAATAGCAGCAGCAGCAGCAGCAGCAGCAGCAACAACAACAACAACAAACACCACCACCACCAATCTGGAGGGTCCCCTGTTCTTCCAGACTCACACAAGAATTGACAAGTATTGCCAGTTCAGAGGTTGTGCTACTGAGGAAAATGGGGAAATCCTTGCAAACCTACCA